TTAAGCTTTTGCTCCCCAAGAGCAGGGGGGACAGCTCCTCCCTCCTGTGCCTTGAACTCTGTTGTGCTGTCTGCCCAAGACACTTCTCCAAAAATCTACCCTCCACCTGCTTAGGGAGCCCTGACAATTTTCCATGCTAAGGGCCCCTTTCCTGCAAAGCCCTTCCTAACTAGCATATACTCACATTCTCTCTCATATGCACACTCTCTCTCTCTCTCTCTCTCTCTCTCTCTCTCTCTCTCTCTCTCACTGGTGACACAGGAGATACAGAGACTCAGGGATGTAACTGCCCTGACTGACAGTGAGCCCCCATGAACGCCAACTGGATGGCCTCACCTCTGGTCCCCCTACTTCTGGTACCTCAAGGGCTGAGCATATAGCAGGTTCTGCTTGGTGAATATCTGGCAAATGAATGAATGATGCACATTCTGTTCAAGGCATGTGGCCACAGGCAGAGCATAGGGCAGGCTTCTATTCTGTCCCCTCACAGAAGGCTGGGGAGTGAAGTTGCATACCAGAGAGCTGTAGCCACAGAGGCTGTGGGCTGGGGTGAAGGAAGCCTACATTTTTCTGGGTTTGGGGACTTGAACTGCATTACTTCTGAAAGTGGAATTAGCTACACCATACGTGAGGACCTAGGGCCCACTGTGGTTCTCACCACCCTCTGCTATTAGAGGGACTTTTCTCAGGCCAGAGCCCATCCATTCAGGAATGTGAAGTTACGGTGCTCATGGTTAGAAATGGTGATGGTTTGGTGCTCTGCCTGAGCTCCCAACCCAGTGCCAAGCAGAGTATGTCCTCAGGGAATCATGGCTGACAGAGAGCCAAACTGATTGGGATTCAGGAGCTGAGTTGTAGCTCCGACTCTGCCCCTTCCTAACCACAGAACCGTGGAAAGTCCCTGCCTTCCCTGAGCCTCAGGTGGCTCTTCTGTGAAATGGGTTTCAGCTGTGTCCTTCCTCACCTGGCTCGTGGTGGTTGGGGAGAAGCCTGGGAGGCTTCCAGCACCCCATAGCCATCAACTACTATACCTTTTTCAAGGCACCTAGGCAGGGGGAGGGGCCAGCTGAAGGCTAAGGTGCCCCATCTGCTCACTGCGGCCCCATCCATGCCTGGCCCTTGTGGTCACAGGATGAGGATCCAAGCCTGGTCACAGACAAGGACAACAGGCAGTGATGGGTGCTCAGAAGGGTTGAGTGGGAAGCCAGAGGACACAGATTTCTTGGAGGAGGTGACATTTGAACCTTTTTCCAAGTGGATAAGGGGAAGAGCATCCCAAGTAGAAGGGAAGCTGAGACAAGAGGGAAAGGCTAGACAGTGGGGACCACGCTCAGGGAGCCACAGGTAGGATGGTGTAGTGGAACCAGAGCAGCAAAGGCTGGCAGGATGCATGGGAGAGGAGTAGGTGAGGTCATCTTAGTCCAGACCTTCTGGGTCTTAGAGGCTCCACTACAGACTGTGGACTTATCCTGAAGGCAATGGTGAGCCAGAATGACCTGATTTATGATTTAGAAGATCACCCCAGCTGTTAGGTGGAGAACAACCATAAGGGATAAAGGTGAAGTCAGGGAGCCCAGAAAAGATGGTGGCCCAGGCCTAGATACCAACTGTGACCATGTAGAGACGTTGCCAGACACAGAACAGAGTGGCTGCGAAGGACGAGGGAATTATCCATTAAAAGTGGAAATTTGGGGGCGCCTGGGTGGCTCAGTCGGTTAAGCGGCCGACTTCGGCTCAGGTCATGATCTCGTGGTCCGTGAGTTTGAGCCCCGCGTCGGGCTCTGTGCTGACAGCTCAGAGCCTGGAGCCTGTTTCAAATTCTGTGTCTCCCTCTCTCTGACCCTCCCCTGTTCATGCTCTGTCTCTCTCTCTGTCTCAAAAATAAATAAACGTTAAAAAAAACTTTTTTTAAATAAAAGTGGAAATTTTGAGGGTGCCTGGGTGGCTCAGTCGGTTAAGCGTCTGACTCTTGATTTCAGCTCAGGTCATGATCTCAAGGTTCGTAGGTTCAAGCCCTGCATTGGGCTCTGTGTTGACAGCTCAGAACTTGCAGCCTGCTTCAGATTCTGTGTCTCCCTCTCTCTCTGCCCCTCCTCCACTCTCTCTCTCTCTCTCTCTCTCTCTCTCTCTCAAAAATAAACATTAAAAAATTTTTTTTAAGTGGAAATTTTGGGGGTTGCCTGGGTGGCTCAGTAAGTTAAGTGTCCAACTTTGGCTCAGGTCATAATCTCACAGTTTGTGAGTTCAAGCCCCGCCGTCGGGCTCTGTGCTGACAGCTTGCTCATAGCCTGGAGCCTGTTTCAGACTCTGTGTCTCCCTTGCTCTCTGCCCCTTCCCCACTCATGCTCTGTCTGTCTGTCTGTCTGTCTGTCTCTCAAAGATAAACATTTAAAAAAAATTTTTTAAGTGGAAATTTTGGGGGCACCTGGCTGGCTCAGTTGGTAGAGCATACATCTCTTTAAAATAATTTTTTTATGTTTATTTATTTCAGGGGCACCTGGGTGGCTCAGTCAGTTAAGTGTCTGACTCAGTTTTGGCTCAGGTCATGATCTCTCGGTTCATGAGTTCAAGCCCCCCATGGGGCTCTGTGCTGACAGTGCAGAGTCTGCTTGAGATTCTCTCCCCCCCCCTCGAAATAAACGTAAAAAAATTAATTTAATGTTTATTTATTTTTGAGAGAGACACAGAGACAGAAAGTGAGTGAGGGAGGGGCAGAGAGAGAGTGAGACCCAGAATCTGAAGCAGGATCCAGGTTCCGTGCTGTCAGCACAGAGCCCAACGCAGGACTTGAACCCACGAACCATGAGATCATGACCTGAGCCAAAGTCACTCAACTGACTGAGTCACCCAGGCGCCCAGAACATGTGACTCTTGATCTTGGGGTAGTGAGTTGGAGCCCCATGATGGAGGTAGAGTTTACTTAAAAACAGAGAATTTTTTATGGGGCACCTTGGTGGCTCCATTGGTTGTGTCTCTCTGTCTTCAACTCAGATCATTATCTCATGGTTTGTGAGTTCAAGCCCTACACCGGGCTCTCTGCTGTCAGCACAGAGCCTGCTTTGGATTCTCTGTCCCCCTCTCTCTGCTTCTCCCCCGTTTGCACTCTCTCAAAATAAACATTAAAAAAAAAAAAAGAACTGAAAAAAAAAGTGGAAATTTTCTGGAAGTGGAATTACAGAATTCTAGAATGAGAAAGAATTCTTTGGACAGTGCTCTGGTGAGCCCCTACAATCAGTGCTGCCTCATCAAAGCTCTGAGCAGTGTCACAGGCACAGTTCTATTTCACCGCCACCCCGGGAGCCAGCAAGTTCCCAGCCCTCAGTGCTCAGTGGGTGTTTGTTGAATTAATTAATAAACAGAGTACTTGAAGTGGGAGGTGAGGTGCGGGGAGGGAATGAATTTGAAACACGTCTTAGAGGATGATCAATAGGACTAGAAGGCTGAATGAAGGTGGGAGTAGGAGAGGGGACGTCATGGTTCATGCATTTACTCATTCCTTCACTGGCTCATCTGACAAATATTTCTTGAATTCCCACTACAAGCCAGGGACAGTGGTAATCAGGACTTCCATGATCCCTGCCCCCACAGAATTTAGAGACCCACAGTGAGGCAGGTTTAGGCACATGGGCCTACATGGTGCCTGGTGGTGATGACTGACATGAAGGTAGGAGTCCACAGGACATGGAAAGAGAAAGTAACAAGAGAGTCTTCAGAGAAGGCGGTCAGAGGATGCCTTGCAGGGGAGCTGGGCAGGGACTAACTGGTGCCGGTTTTGAGAGCTGTGGAGAGGTTGAGTCTCTGGCTCAGGTGGGAGCCTGAGTGGAGGGCAGTGCTTTGCAAATATGAGGATGAAGGAAGAAGAGTCCCCCAGCGGAAGGTCATGCGATCTGGCAGGTTGACCAGAGGCTCTGGAATAGGAGAGGACTCTGAGTAGGGAGGAATGCTTGGGGCGCTCAGCAGTGGATGGATTGAAGCCCTGGGACTGGATGATGTTGTGTGGTGGGGAAATAAAGAGAACCCAGTCCCTGGAAGCAACCCCCAGGTTCAAGGACTGTAGAGAAAGGTGTGCTGTAAAGGAAGGCAAAGAGGAGGGGCCGGCAGGTGGGAGAACTGGGAGAGAATGAGGTGTGTCTCTTGGAAGAGCTGGTGAGGGAGGGGACGTCTGTGTCCCTGAGGGCCTCTACCCCCTACCACTAATTCTGGGTTTTTAAGACCAACCCTGTGGGTGCAGATAGTAAAAAACCTCTCAAAGTCCCTCAACCTGCTCCCGGGTATGTCTGTGCTCCCTCTAAAGGTAAAGGACTACGGGGTGAAACCCTTCCGGTACGGGCCCAGAGCTCTCAGCTCCACCTCAACCCACTGGAGGGGAGAGTCAGTATTCCAGTCCCCTATTGGGAAGGACTGGCTCTAGCCCCCTTTGGCCAGCATGTGCCCCAAGCCCAGGTACCCAGACCCTCCCGCACTCTGTGAGCAAGGCCTGAGGCTCCCCAGAGCTAGTAACCAGTGAGTAGTGAATGCGAGGCCAGGTATCTAATGGCTAGGCTTCAGGACCCCTTGTTCCCGTCCCCGAAACTGGCCCTGATTCTTTCCTCCAACCAACCCAACCCAGCAGTGGCTGCTCCGGGACGGTCATAGATAGGAGGGCCTGAAAGATCTCTGGAGACCACAGATTCTGAGAAGGGGGATAGGCAAGCGGGGCTCTCCGGCGCACCCTGCTTTGGGATTTGCGTGGGAAGGAATGGGACTGGCTTTGCAAGCAGCTGCCCAATTCCCGCGAATCCCGAGCGCTAAGAACTCCCACCGCCCTAGCGTCGTCCAGGGCCCCGCCTCCCCGCAAGCTGGTGGACCCCGCGGGCCACTGGCCTGCCCCGTTACCCGAGAGGGCGGAGCGAGCCGTGGGCGCCTCCCTGGGTCCCGGAGCCTCCCGAGCGCAGTGGGTGGGGCCCAGCGGGCGGGGGAGGAGCGGGGTGACTGGGCGGCGGGCGACTGGCGGAGGGAGGGGCGGACGCCGGCGGCGGGGACAGCGGCAGCTGCGGCGCGACCAGGCCGGGCAGGGACGAGCGCACGGAGAGCGCGAGGTCCGCGCAGCCCAGTGCAGCCATGTGAGTGTCACCGCCGTTTCGGGGGACCGCGGGCCAGGCGGGGGTCGGATGCGGCGGTTCGGTTGCCTCCGCATCGGTCCCGGATCTGCTGCCCCGGCTGCGGCCCGGTCCCACGTCGCCCCATCCCCCGGACCCGGGCCGCGCGGTATCGTTCCTCCCCTCCCCCCGGGCGCGGAGGACGCCCACAAAAGCCGCCGCCTTTGGGCCTGACGCGCGCCGCGCTGCCTTCTTCCCTCCCAAGGCAAGGCCCAGGCGGCCCTTGCCCCGGGGCTCTAGGGTGGGCCGGGCCTGAGGGCGGGCCCAAGACGCCTGTCTGGGCGCTGGCAAGGGCGCTCTCCGGGAGCCCCCGCTGTCCTCGCTGGGTGCGGGGAGGGGAAAGGATGAGCTGGGAATGGAGAGGGGGCGACGAGGCTTGCAGGCTAGCCTCGGAGATGAGCTAATCTTCCCTGGACACATCGGCCGGCCTAAGCGGATTTGGGGCTCGGCCCGAGGTGGCCGATCCTGGCCTGTGGCCGGGCTCTTTGCCCAAGCGGCTGAAGCTGATCGCCTTGGCCGGGTGGGGGAACAGACCCTGTCCCTGGGAATGGGAGGCTGATGCATGGTCTCTGCAAGCAGCCAGGCTTGGGCACCCTGAAGAACTGTTTGGGGGAAGGAGCTGCCTACCAAGGCTAGGGATCTGGCTGTCTGCCCTCAGCACCCCCTGTCCTCCTCTCCCTGTTGAGGCCTCAGTCCAGCCAGTTCTACTGGATTGATCCTAATTCAGGTCCAGACTGGCTGGCGGAGCACCTACTGTGTGCAGTCTAAATATAACAAACATAACAATAAAGTTTCTCCTGTCACCATCTGTGGGACCTCACCCCGGGCCTGCAGCATTCAGCACCAGCACAGCTTTCTGAGGAGGGTTATGACAATCTGGCAGAGGCTGAAAAAGAGGCCCAGAGAGGTTAAGTAGTATTCTCAAGGTCACACAGCTGGTTTAGGGAGAAATGGGAACTAGACCCAGACCTCAAATCTTGCCATTGCACTACCACCTTTGTGGCACGGAAGGGGTGTGGAAAATAATTAGAAAGTGAAGTACAAAATACTCCAGTGGGACAAGGAGGCTTGGCTTAGCTTCCACTTCCACCCACCCGTTCTGGGTCCTGGCCAGAGATAGAGGCCTGGATTTAAGTGAGGGTGAGGAGAGCATGCAGGGGGCCAGGCTGGGTCCACCCTGGGTGGAAAGGCAGGTGAAGAGGGCGCGGCTCAGTCAACCCCTGCCTCTCACTGCAGCTAGGCTCGAGACTCCCGACCCTTCCAGGCCCGGCCCAGGGGAAGCCACTCAGCTTCCAGCACGCCGCCAGCCAGCCTCCAGCCAGGGAATGTGACCAGCTGACCAGGGAGGGGGCCGGCAGGAAGTGAAGCCACCGGGAGTCTCTGCTTGGTTCCGGGGTGGGGGGTCCCAGGCCACGCGCACACCCCTCCCTCCGGCTCCGGCAGCTGCGGCATGACGTCAGCAGCCGGGTTTGGTGGCAGTTGCTGTGGAGACAGGGACAGGTTCAGTAGGGACCCCATTCTCCTTGCAGCCTCCCCTTGCCTGGGCTATTTTTAGTGTCTGTTTACCTCTGTCTGGGGCAGCCCTGCTCCTGGGCGGGGCTAGATTGGGGACTCCTGGCTAAGCTGCTGGACCCTCCTGGCCTACCACTGAGCTGGGCAGTGCAGGTGGTGGGACCTCCTGTCCCACACAAGTGCAGCACTTTTGGCATGTAGAGGGTTTTGGGGGCGAAGGAATCTGGGGCCATGCAGGCAGTCAGGGTTCCATTCCTTGCTGCCTGATGCTGGCTGTGCTGCTGGCCCCATAATCTTTGGGACCTGAGATCTTTCCCACGTCCAGAACAGGCTTCAGGGCTGGTATGAGGCCAGCTTCCCCCCAACAGTTAAGGTGGGCCCTCTCCTTAGCTCAGAGGAGCTCAGCAATTTTTCTTTTCTCCCCTGCAGCAGGGAAGACCCTGCCTCCACCCCCCTGAAATGGTCACTCAGACAGATATTCTGATGGTCATTTTGGCAAGAGTGTGGACCAACAATTACACATTGGTGGGACTAGGGAGTTGGTAGCAGCAGAGCCCTAGTGAGAGAGAGAAAGAAAAGTGTTGGGACAGTTAGCCTACTCTGAGTCTAGTCTACCCACTCAGTCCCAAAACCCCAGGGGTCCTCACCCTACCCTATGCTCAGGGAGCAGAGCTCTACTTGGTGATATAATCATAAAGTGGGGGAAGGACAAAGAAAATTATAAATGGAGTAGGGGAGTTAGGGTGGGCACAGACTTGAAATCTACCCCTCCAACAGCCCAGGATCTGCTCTTCCTGTGTCCCGGCAGCCCAGTTCACTCAGCTCCGAACTCATATGCAGCCCCCTCCCTCATCTCTCTGGTGCGGGGCCCAGAGGGCACAGCAGTGAACCCAGCAAACAGGCCCCTGCTCTCAGAGTTCACAGTCTGGTTGGAAGACAGATGCTAAAGGAGAACTGACAACTGAACTATGTGGCCTCCAGGATCAGAGGAAGGAAGCTATGAGGCGCCTAAAAAGGAGGAACCAACCCAGGGCAGGAGGAGGAAGAACCCGTAGGGTAAAACTTGAAAAAGGAGAGGGAATTGGTAAGGCTGACAGTATGGGAAGAGGGTATAGGAGCAATGGAGGCTGCTGCTGAAAGGCTGAAGAGCCTTGTAGGTATCGAGAGAGGATCAGGGGCACCTGGGTGGCTCAGTTTGTTGAGCGTCTGAGCTCAGGTCATGATCTCATGGTTCGTGGGTTCGAGCTCCTTGTCACGCTGCCTGCTGACAGTGTGGAGCCTGCTTGGGATTCTCTCTCTCCCTCTCTCTCTGTCCCTCCCCTGCTCATGTGCGCTCTCTCTCTCTCTCTCTCTCTCTCTCTCAAAAATAAGTAAACATTAACAAAATTAACTATAGTAATAAAAAGAAAATTTTAGAAAAAAGAGAAAGGGTCACAGTAGCTGGAACAGAAAGACCATGAGAGAAGAAGGGGACTGAGTAGATCAGTGGTAGAAGGCATATGAGGGAAGGGACAGAGCCTTGGGGTCATGTCAGAGAGCCTACACTTTATCCCTGGAATAGGGGGTCACCCATGGATGTTTTGCAAGAGGCAAAAGAGAGTCCTATGGTTGGACTGCCTGGATTTGAATCCTGACTCTACCACTTACCAGCTGTGTAATCTTGGGCACATTAATAATTGTTAACAACAACAGTTAATATTTGTTTTGTGTTTGTAATGTGGCAGTGTGTCCACTGGAACTTCCCTACCCCACATACAATTTTCACTTGCCCAGATGCTCCCTACAAGTGCCTAGAAAGAGAAGTATCTCATTTCATCTTCCCAGCAGTCCTGTGAGGCAGTTGTTGTTGTTGTTGTTGTTGTTAGGTTTAACAGAGGGGTATCTGAAGCCCAAAAAGGTTAAGAAATGCCTTGCCCAAGGTCACAGAGCTAGTTAGCCTCACGTTTCTCATCTGTGAGATGGGGCTAATAGGATTGACCCTATAAGGTTGTTACCAGAATTAAATGAGATGATGTTTGTTAATTAAGCACAGTGCTTGGCCTATAGAAAGCACTTGACAAATCACAGTTTTTGGCATTGTCAGATGACTGGAATTTTAAGAAGAGCAATGTTGTTATTGGATAAAGAATGGGAGGGGGGTGTGCACCAGACTGGCTCAGTCGGTAGAGCACGAGACTCTTGCTTACTTACAAAAAAAAAAAAAAAAAAAAAAAAGTAGGCAATCATGTAAAATAATGCTGGATACCCATAAACAAACAAACAAACAAACCAAAATAATAGATCATTGTGGATTACAGTGGAGACAGGGAGCTGATTGGGAAGCTCCACTAGGGTTCTAGCTGAGAGTTGGTGACTGTTTGGACCCAATTTCTAGCTATGGGGATGGAGGTGAGGGGACAGATTCCAGAGTGTGTGGCTGAGTGGAGAGAGGTTGACTGGGAAGAGTCAAGTTTGAGAAGGAAATTGGTGAATCCAGCTTGAGGACTTCAAATTCAGCACACCCCTAATAGCCCACTCTGCATTGTTGCTTAGCTTCTGGGGAGGCAACAAGCAGGCAGTTGGATATATAGGCCTGGTGCTCAGAAGAGCTGTTTGGGTGAGGAAGAGATAAGGAAGCTGGCAACATTTGGAGGGCATTGAGGTGTGGGAGATGTACCCAGCCCAAGAGTGAGGAGGATGAGGCCAATTCCGGGATGATGAGAAAGATGAGATCTTCTGTGGGAAAGTAGGATGTACAGCCAGAGAGATAGGTGGAAAACCGGGAGCATGTTGTTGCCTCTTGAAATTCAAGGAAAGAAAGGGCTCAAAGAAGAGAAAGAGAGCCACAAAGTGAAAAGCTTTACTGAGATCAAGCACGAGAAGGACTAAACCTTGGACACTGGATTCAGCAACAGGGAGGTCACTGGTGACCTTGTCCAGACCAGTCAGGGGAGTGGTGGGTGTGGAAGGTAGCCCAGGGTGGTAGAGGACTGCGTAGTTGTGGAGAGGAAATCAAGGTAGACATCTGTCTCTTCGAGAAATTTGATTATGAAAGGGCCAAATGGAGCGATGGATGGGGTCACTGGGAAGAGAAATGGGGTCCACAGAGGAATAATTTCTTGTTGGCGTTTTTTTTAAATTTTTTTTTTTAATGCGTATTTATGTTTGAGAGAGACAGACAGAGTGTGAGCGGGGGAGGGGCAGAGAGAAAGGGAGACAGAATCTGAAGCAGGCTCCAGGCTCTGAGCAAGCTGTCAGCACAGAGCCTGACGCAGCGCTCCAACTCACAAACTGCGAGATCATGACCTGAGCCGAAGTGGGACGCTTAACCGACTGAGCCACCCAGGCGCCCCTCTTGTTGGAGTTATTAAAGCCAACTTTCCGGGGCACCTGGGTGGCTCAGTCGGTTAAGCGGCCGACTTCGGCTCAGGTCATGATCTCTCGGTCCATGAGTTCGAGCCCCGTGTCGGGCTCTGTGCTGACAGCTCGGAGCCTGGAGCCTGTTTCAGATTCTGGGTCTCCCTCTCTCTGACCCTCCCCTGTTCATGCTCTGTATCTGTCTCAAAAATAAATAAAATGTTAAAAAAAAATTAAAAAAAAAATAAAGCCAACTTTATATTAAAAATATCTACAGAGAGGGTGAGCGTCCAAAGTGTACAGCTCAATCCATTTTCACAAGGGAACATACACCCATCTAGGACCAGGAAATAGAACCCAGATGAGGAAATATGGAACATTACCAGCCCCCTGGAAACCTTCTTGTGTCCCCTTCCAGTAACTACTCCCAAAGGGTAACTAGTATTCTGACTTCTATCACCATAGATGAGTTTTGCCTGTTTTTGAACTTCACATCAAGGGAACCATACATAGGTCCTCTCTTGTGGTATTGCTTCTTTTTTATGTCTGTAGGATTCATCCATATTTTTGTGTGCAGATGTATACTGTTCGTTCTTTTTGCTGTATAGCATTCCATTATCTACTGATGGGCATTTGGGTAGTTTCCAGGGTTGTTTTAGTTTTTTATAGGCGAGTGACTTGAACTTGTTTAAGGCTTGCGGAGGAAGTCTGAAACACTCATTGTCTATGAGAAGGAAGAAAGATGAGTAGGGCCACACGTGAGGATTTCCTGGGTGGGAAATGAGAACCTGGCTGAGGTTGAGAGAATTTCTCTGTGGTTCCAGCTCAGCTGCTGTGCAAAGACCTCTGGCGGCTCCTGCCATTGTGTGCAGGTGTAGAGAAGGCAGGGCATTGGGTCGCCCAGGGTTGTTTTCTGCCGGGTAGGAGAGAAGCACAGAGTGCTAGGCATATTAGCAGCAGGTGAGCTATGGAGTGTGGTGCCTGTGGATCTAGGCTGGGGAGAAGGATGTGCAGGAGAGAGAAGGATGTGCAGGGGAGAGAAGGATGTGCAGGGAAGAGAAGGTGGGAGGGAGCTGGCAGAGAGAAAGGAAGCCAATTGTGAGCTCTGTGCAGGATGGTGTCTGTGAAATTCCGGGCTGTATCTCCAGTGACTGGCACATGTTTGGCACAGAGTTGCCACTCAGTGAATAGTTGAATAAATGAGCTGAGGTTTCAAGAGGTCTCAGGTAGAAGACAGTGTAGGTGGGGGTGATGCAGAGAGCCTTAAGGTTGGCATCATTGTGGTTGCAATTTAGGAAAGGGGCACTCCCGGGGCGGGGGGCGGGGGGGGGGGGGGAGGTCAGTGTGGGGCGTGCAGACTGGGACGGGAGCAGAAAGGTCAGTGTGGGGCGTGCAATCCACAGGAATACATAGTTGCTAGTGTAGGGTGCAGAGCACCTGGTCTTCAAGGAGAGAGAGGAGGATAGCACATTTCAAACTGGGGTCCTTGGGTATCTTGCATCTGATTCTATAGGGGGGTGGTGGGCTTGTTGGAAATGCTGACCCCTGGGCCCACTCCAGCCTCTTGGGGAGAAAATAAGCAGAACTGAGCAAAAAGGAGCAGGAGTATTTATGGGTTAAGGGAGCACCCAGCCCTTCCAATGCCCACTGGAGTTTGGGCATGATAGCCTCTATTCAGGCTGGAGGTGGATGAGGGAAACTCAAGGAAAAAATACTCAGGGTGGGAAAGGGCCAACACCAAGGGGATTCAGCCGTGTGAGCCGGTGGCCAGAAGGATGGGGGCCTCGCCGTAGGATGCAGCTTCTACCAGAGAGGTAGCCCTGGCTGTGCACTGGGACCTGATTCTCTTCCCTAGGGCCTGAGGGTGGGGAGGATGTGCCTAGAATGAGCACCTCCTCTGTGGATGGGGTAGTCCATGGGCTATGGGACTCTGAACCCAGTTCCTTCTCTGCTTCCTTCTTGGGGCAGCAACACATAATATGAGCTTGGTCCAGTCTCACACTTTTAGCCTCTTTCTCTTCCCAGCTTCCCAGACCCCTCATGCTCAGTGCCTGACTCTGCCCTCTATTGGCACAGGCCATCCACTCGGCACCCACAGTCCTTCCTTCTACTCCCTCAGCCCCACTTTCCAGTCTGCATACTCAGAACCCCAACTCCCAGCCTTGTGTGTGCTCAGCCCTCTAATACCCCTCAACAGCCACTCTACGAGCCCCTTATTCTAACTGCATCCAATCCAGCCTCCACTCAGGGTCTTCATTCTGTTTATCCCTCCTTATTCACCGCCGGGCTCAATTCCCTTTACCCAAACTCCGAACCCCACCTGAGAAGACCCACTTCAGTCTCCTCCCCGAAGGGAGCCCCCAATACCCCTCCCAGAGGCCGCTCAGTCTGAGCGGTGCCCCCGCCCCGTGGTCCAGCCGGTCCCGCCCATCCCGGCGGGCTGAGTCAGGCGGCAGGAACTGGGCGGGGGGCGGCGCTGGGAGGAGCTGAAGCCCGAGCCAGAGTCGCTGGGAGCAAGCGCGGAGCCCAGCTCGACCAGCACCTAGTGGCCCTGGGCCTGTGGGGACGTAGGGGTGGGAGGGCAAACGCAGGGGGTGGGGAGCTGTCCTGGATCTACCATGAGTGCCAAGAAGAGAGGTAGGACCCGGCCTGAGGCTGCGATGGCTGCGAGGCTGGCCCCAGGGGGTGCGGGCTGGACTCTGGGGGACAGGGGCACGTGTTTCGCCGGATCTGGGTGGGGGTCTGCGGAGTATCCCTTCCCGCTAAGGGCGCGGGCGAAGGAGTCCATCTATGACTAAGTTTCCAGGCCTGAGCCGCAGGAAAGTGGAGGAGGCAGGGCACTTCTTGGCGCTGCCCCCGACTCTGGGAATCCCCACGCTGCTGGGCTCTGGCATCCCCGGTGGGCGCTGGAGGGAAGCAGTTTACACGGGGCGGAGGGTCGCGGGAGCCAACCCCGGGCCTGCCGGGCCTGTTGGGCAGCTCCGCTGGGCTCAGAGCGTTCACCTCGCCAGGTGACCTCCCGCAGCTTCGCGGGGTTGGAGCGCGGGAGCTCCTGGTCACTGTTGCGGGGATAGGGGGTGAGGTCAGGGGCAGGGCTGGGGAGCCCGCCCCGCCCCCGGGTAAACAAGCGCTTCCGCACATTCTTCATGCGCCCCGCCCCTTTCCTGCCCCTTCCCAGCCAGGGGCGGGGGAGGGGGGTCCCCGCGCGACCCCCCTTCCTGCCCCGAGACAGGCGGAGCCTGCACCTCTGCAGGAAGTGGGGGCCGAGCCCAGGCCACGCTGAGTCCGAGGCCGAGTCGCCCGGCCGCCCTGTCATTAGTGCTGGGGCCGGCAGGGTTGTCGGACTCCCGGCGTCAGGCGGTATCCGGCTGGACTAAGATACAGAGGCTGGGCCTCCGGAGGGGGCTTCAAAAGCCTGACTGGCGCTGGACACCCGCCCTCGCCACCCCCCAGGGAGCCCCGCGCGGACTCATTCCATGATGTCCCTGTCGGTGCGGCCGCAGCGCCGCCTGCTCAGCGCCCGGGTCAATAGGAGCCAGTCCTTCGCAGGCGTCCTCGGCAGCCAGGAGCGGGGCCCCAGGTATGCAGCAGAGCGGGGCTAATGGGGTCAAGCGAGTGTGACGGGGCTGGAGCTGGGTGTGCAGTGAGGGATTGGGGATCCTTCTCGTACCTTTCTGAGTGTGGCCTCTTCTCCAGGAGCTTCCCGGCCTTCAGTCCCCCGGGGCCCCCACGGAAGCCCCCAGCGCTCTCCCGAGTGTCCAGGATGTTTTCCGTGGCGCACCCAGCCCCTAAGGTCCCACAGCCTGAGCGGCTGGACCTGGTGTACACTGCGCTCAAGCAGGGCCTGACGTAAGGAACGCCTCCCAATGCCTTATCCCAGGACTCCTCCCTAAGCCCTCATCCCCTTCCTGCTAGTAGGAACCTTCCCCAGTCTCCTATCTTCTTTCCACTGCTTGCTTGTACCCCGGGCAGCTGGAGGCTGGAAAGGTAAGCTAATTCTTGTAGTCACTCCTTTCCCCAGGGCCTATTTGGAAGTGCACCAGCAAGAACAGGAGAAACTCCAGGGACAGATTAGGGAGTCCAAGAGGAATTCCCGGCTGGTAAGTAAAGGGTTGACAAGGATGCCCTGGATTTAGCCCAGTTGTGACTAGAATACAGGATATCAGGAAAGGCTGGGCAGGTTTCTAGCCCCACCTTCCCCAGGTTTTGTACGCTTTCTGTCTGGGACCCAGTATCTGCCCATTGGAGCTTTCAGTGGGGCAGGTCAGACCCCCACAGACGTGATGACAGGAAACTATATTGTAGTAACTCTGATAGAGAGTCATGGTTCTTCTCTGGAAACAGGCCAGGGCTTCCCAGAGCAGGAAACGCTTCTGCTGGGTCTTGAAGAATAGGAGTTCCCTGGTAGAGGGAACCTCTTCCTAGGGGTTGCAGGAAAGGGAGTGGGCCCGGGGAAGGGATCCCAGGGAAAGAGATGGGGGGATGCGTATGGGAGGGGTCTTGAGGACCAGACCCTATGTCACTAACATGCACCTAAGGCCAGGCATGAGGGAAGATGGGTCAGTCCATACTTTGACTGGAGTGGCTGTGGCCTGAGGTATGAGGGGGAGGAAGGCTGTGAAAGAGGAGTTAGATGGGCCTGGGTAGACATGTGCCCCTGCTGGAATACTTCCCATGCCTCCTAAGTGTCCCCTCTCATCTTCCCCTGCAGGGCTTTCTGTATGACTTGGACAAGGTAAGTGTGTAGGGAATGGTGATGGAAGAGTTTGGCTCATTGGGGAGGGTAAGGGCTTGGGGCCTCCGGCCCCTCCTGACATACCTCTCCCTCAGCAAGTCAAGTCCATTGAACGCTTCCTGCGACGGTTGGAGTTCCATGCCAGCAAGGTATATGTGCAGCATGCACATGTGTGCAGTGTGCACACAAGGCGGGTGGGAGATAGGGGGATGCTAGGTCCTGGGTGAGCAACCCCAGTAGTGAGTTTCAATTCCCCCAATATCACCCCACTCACTTGCCCAGATTGATGAGCTATATGAAGCATACTGTGTCCAGCGGCGTCTCCGGGATGGCGCCTACAACATGATCCGTGCCTACAGCACTGGGTCTCCAGGGAGCCGAGAGGCCCGGGACAGCCTGGCAGAAGCTACTCGAGGGCATCGCGAGTACACAGAGGTGAGGGATGGGTGTCCAGAAGGCAGAGGCACAGGGTATAGCAGAGCTGGTGAGAGAGGACTGGTTCTTGATCCGCTCTTGTCCCTGCCCACCCCTCCCAGAGCATGTGTCTGCTGGAGAGTGAGCTGGAAGCACAGCTGGGCGAGTTCCATCTCCGGATGAAAGGTACTAAGTGATGGGGACAGACTGGTGCTAGGGAGAGGGGATTGTGTGCCTGAGACCCCTCATCATGGCTCATCTCCTCCTCTACTCCTAGGGCTGGCTGGCTTCGCCAGGCTGTGTGTGGGGGATCAGTATGAGGTATGAGAACGGCAAGGAAGGGCTGGAATGAGAGGGTCACAACACCAGGGGCTGCCTCATCTTGCCTGTTCACCTAGATCTGCATGAAATATGGGCGTCAACGCTGGAAACTACGGGGCCGGATTGAGGGTAGCGGAAAGCAGGTGTGGGACAGCGAGGAAACCGTCTTTCTTCCTCTGCTCACGGAATTCCTGTCTATCAAGGTGATGCGTCTGCCCAGGACCACAGGTCAAATGATCCTGTGACTCCTTGACTCGTGAACTCCTCATGACCCTAAGACCCTTACCCTGTAACTCCCAGCTGGCTTCATGGCTCTGTGAATATGTAATCCCCATGTCCTTCATAACTCTGTGATTTTCTTATGATCTTTTAATCTTGTAAATATTTGACTCCCTAAACCCTCATGAGACTGTGACCCCCATGGCTACAGTGACCTTAGACCTCTGTAATCCACATGCTCCCAGGATGCTTCAATCCTCCATGGCCTCATCACTCAGAGAATTCCAATCCCTGCAACCTTGTCATAGCCCTATGACCCTGTGACTGTCACATAACGTCTATGCATATTCAGACCTCTGATCTCCCACAACCTCATGATCCCTATACCCTTATGACCTTATGATGCATTCTTGGCTACAGGTGACAGAACTGAAGGGTCTGGCCAACCATGTGGTTGTAGGCAGTGTCTCCTGCGAGACCAAGGACCTGTTTGCTGCCCTGCCCCAAGTTGTGGCTGTGGACATCAATGACCTCGGCACCATCAAGCTCAGCCTGGAAGTCACATGGAGGTTGGTGTTGTTGAGTGGCTTGGGGACAGGACCAAGGGGCCTGTGGCACCTGCTAAAAGCCTCTTACCTCCCCAGCCCTTTCGACAAGGATGACCAGCCCTCAACTGCTTCCACTGTCAACAAGGCCTCCACAGTCACCAAGCGCTTCTCCACCTATAGCCAGAGCCCACCAGACACGCCCTCACTTCGGGAACAGGCCTTTTATGTGAGTCACAGGCCAGGCTTAGGCCCCACCATCCTCCAGCGGCTCCCTGGGGTGGTCCTGAAGTGCCCTTTCTTCTCTCCCAGAATATGCTGAGGCGGCAGGAGGAGCTGGAAAATGGGACGGCATGGTCCTTGTCATCCGAATCTTCAGACGACTCATCCAGCCCCCAGCTTTCAGGCATTGCCCGCCACTCTTCAGCTCCCAGGCCTCTGGTGCAGCAACCTGAACCTCTGCCCATTCAAGTCGCCTTCCGTAGGCCTGAGACCCCCACCTCTGCACCTGTGGATGAAGAGGGGATCATGGCCCCAGCCCTGGCCAATGGCCATGCCCCCTATAGCCGGACTCTGAGCCACATCAGTGAGGCCAGTGTGGATGCTGCCTTGGCTGAGGCTTCTGTGGAGGCTCTGGGCCTAGAATGCTTAGCTCAGGGACCTAGCCTGCCTGCACACCTAGATCCCACCCATGGGGAGCAACCTGGTCCTGTCCCTCCTGCTGTGGACCCTTGCCATTCTGCCACAAGCCTTACCCTCAGTACAACAGGCCCCACCCACATATCTACAGACCCTGCTTTGTCTGCACACCTAGATTTGGTTCACAAGATCACAGACTCTAGCTCTTCTGAACTGCCAGGCCCTACCCACACCATCAGAGGATCTACCTATAATGACATCAGCCTTACCCAAAGTGCTCCAAGCCTCACTCATACTACCACAGCTTCTACCCACAAGCCCATGGTCTCTACCCTCACCACTACAAGCCCTGCTCCCAGTGCCACAGCCCCAGTCCAGACCACCACAAGTCCCACCCACAAGCCAATGCTTTGCACCCTCACTACTGAAGGTCCTACCCCCAATACTACAGGCCCAGTCCAGACCACCACAAGCCCCATCCACACTACAACAAGCCCTACCCATACCACTGCAAGCCTCACCCAAACCACTATAAGCCCCACCCACACTACTGCAAGCCCCACCCATGCCACTACAAGCCCCACCCATGCAAGTACAAGCCCTGCTCACAAAGCCAGGATGTCAACTCACACCACTACAAGTCCTACCCCCAAGGCTAAGGACCCAGTCCAGACCACTAGGAGCCCCACCCATCCTGTCACAAGCCCCACCCTTATAACTGTAAGCTCTTCCACTTTTCTAGACCATGCCATGCTTCCCAGCTCCTCTGCAAAGGCAGACCCTACCCTCCCAGGCACCAACACCCAGTCTTGTAGCTACCCATTTTCCACTCCTTGCACTCAGGCAGACCCCGTAGCCCCCAGCACCTCCTACCCAAGTCCTGCCTGTTCCAGTTGCGAACCCCTCACAAGTCCATCCCCAGATTCCCCAGAACCGGACCTTCAGAATCCAAGTCCCCCTCTCTCACCCGTAGCCCCTGTGGCCCAGCATTTAGACCTTAGCCTGGCTGTGGCCACTCAGGCCCCAGTTCCAGGAGCAGCTGGAGGGGCTGGGGATAGGAGGCTGGAAGAGGCACTAGGGGCCCTAATGGCTGCCCTGGATGACTATCGTGGCCAGTTCCCTGAGCTGCAGGGCCTAGAGCAGGAGGTGACCCGGCTGGAGAGTCTGCTCATGGTAAGGAGGGCCAGGTGGGCTGCAGCAGGAGGGCAGCAAAGCAGTGGGCAGTAGCACTGACTCCCTTCCCAACCCCAGCAGAAACAAGGCCTCACTCGCAGCCGGGCCTCCAGCCTTAGTATCACTGTGGAGCATGCCCTGGAGAGCTTCAGCTTCCTCAATGAGGATGAAGATGAAGACATCGATAGTCCTGGAGACAGGTGAGGGGGAAGAGGTGAGGGGAGTGCCAAGTGAAGGGGAAAGGCCAGAAAGGGGAACAGGTGAGGTGGAGCCAGGTAGAGCACACAAGGAGAGTGGCAAGACTGGAGGTGGCAGGAGGGGATACACTTGCCAGCAGGTGCATCTGTGTTTGACACCCCCACCCCTCACCCCATGTAGTCCTCATGTGTCCCTGATGCCTGTTTCCAACCCCATCTGTATCCCCAGTGCTTCTGACCTCCCTCCTTCTGGTCCGGGCAATGCCTGCCTCTCCTGCTGGTCCCCATCAGCTTGTGATCCTCCAGCTCCTCCTCTTTCCCTTGGACTCACCTTGGACCTACCCTATGAACAAGCCCTTTCGGTGCCTCTCCATGCACCCTGGGTCCCCCAGCACCAACCCCCTCTGTCTCAACCCAGGTTTTCCCCGAGAACCCAGCCCCTTGGCTTTCTGTCCCAGAGTGGCCTTTGCCAATTCCTGGTTAAGAGTCATGCCTGGCCTGGCCTCTCTCTGCTGCTGCCCAGGTTAGGGCCCTGTGCCCTGAACCCTTTGGGCCACAACCCCTTGGAGTCCACATTACATAGACCATCCCGCCTGCAACCCTACTCCCAGCCATCCCAACCCCGGTGGCCCTGGTGGTCCCAGAAGTTGTAGCTGGAGGTGGGAAAAGACAGACGAACCCTGGAGACCCCCACTAACACCTGCTGGTCGTAGTCTCTTCCTCCTTCTGGAAGTCCTCCGTGAACTTACCCATTGTCTGTTGTCTGTGTATCGTCTGCTCTTCCATTCTGGGGGGGGGGGGGACCTTAATAAAAATAAACTGTTGACCACATGGTGATGTGTGCTCCTGGGGTGGATGACCCCCTTTTTCTCTCAGGCCCCCAAACAGCCTGGAGCCTGGGGCTGAGGACAGCCTCGACTTACCCAGTGCCCGCCCCCTCAGCACGGAGTGTCCAGCTCTGGACGCTGCCTTGGTCCAGCACCTGTACCACTGCAGCCGCCTCCTGCTGGTGAGGCTAGTGGTATTCTCCACACCCTCCTTTTGTAACCCCCTACCCCAGGGAGCCCTGCACTTCAATACTGACCCTCCATGCCTCCTCTGACTTCCACTCCCCACTGCCCCAGGGCTCTAGCATTTGGCTCTTGCTGAGGTGGAACACCTCCCATGGCTTCCCCCATCCTCTCCATGCATGCTGGGACTTGTAGTCCCTGGGCTCCACCCTCCCCAAGCTTCATCCTGAGATGAGGCCATCCCTATTCTCCAGAAACTGGGCACATTTGGGCCCCTGCGCTGCCAGGAGGCATGGGCCCTGGAGCGGCTGCTGAGGGAAGCCAGAGTGCTAGAGGCCGTATGTGAGCTTAGCAGACGATGGGAAGTACCTGCCACCTCTGCCCAGGAAGGTAAGGGCTCTGTCTGCCCTGAAGCTCCTCCCTTACCTAGCCCCATCTGCACGCCTGTCTGCCCACCTGCCTGCTCTGTTGCTGATGGTTGTCTGCACCCCCTCGTAGTGGTGCAGTTCTCAGCCTCTCGGCCCAGCTTCCTCACCTTCTGGGACCAGTGCACAGAGGGACTCAGCCCCTTCATCTGCCCCGTAGAGAGAGTGCTCCTCACCTTCTGCAATCAATACAGTGCCCGTCTCTCCCTGCGCCAGCCAGGCCTAGCTGAGGCTGGTGAGTGGGCTGCCTACCTGCCCCCCTTACCTCCTTTGTTGGATCCCTAGTGATGGGATCTCAGGAAAAGCCAGGTCAGCCTACACAGACCTGCTGAGCTGAGCAGTGGGAGGAAATAATGAAGGCTTGTTTCTTTGCATGGAAGGACCCAGAGGGGTAGGGTTTGGATGGGGGGCCCCTGGACCTGAACCTGGGATGGGAGCACTCTTCCCTCTAAGGGCCTGGCTCCACCCAAACCCTGAGGCTTGCAGCACTGCCTCCCACAGTGTGTGTCAAGTTCCTGGAGGATGCCCTGGGGCAGAAGCTGCCCAGGAGGCCCCAGACAGGCCCTGGAGAGCAGTTCACCATCTTCCAGTTCTGGAGTTATGTCGAAGCCTTGGACAGCCCCTCTATGGAGGCCTATGTGACTGAGACCGCCGAGGAGGGTGAGCCAGAGGCCCTGATCACAAAGTGGCCTGACTCTGTGGGTGTGGATGAGAACATGAGTATACAAGACCCTACCCCACAAGGTTCCTTGCCCTGCTACCTTGTCCCAACTCTCCTTTCTTCTTTCAGTGTTACTGGTGCGGAACTTGAATTCAGATGACCAAGCTGTTGTGCTGAAGGCCCTGAGGTTGGCTCCTGAGGGGAGACTGCAAAGGGATGGGCTTCGGGCCCTCAGCTCCCTGCTTGTCCATGGCAACAACAAGGTCATGGCTGCTGTCAGCACCCAGCTCCGGAGCCTGTCACTGGGCCCCGTCTTTAGGGAAAGGGTGAGAGTCAGGCAGGCCCTTCTTGAGGAAAAGGCTTGGGGTCCCAGGCTCCCAGTGTCTGGCTAAGTCTGCCCTCCCACCCTTACCCAGGCCCTACTGTGCTTCCTGGACCAACTCGAGGATGAGGATGTACAGACAAGAGTGGCTGGTTGCCTGGCCCTGGGCTGCATCAAGGTAATGCCTGCCAACCCCTGCACTTCATGCCCCTCCCAGTTCCCCCAGCCCTGGGCTGTGGGCCTTTCCCACCTGCTCCACTGGGCCCACCTCAATGTTCCCTCCCCCGGTAGGCTCCTGAGGGCATTGAGCCCCTGGTGTACCTGTGCCAAACGGACACAGAAGCTGTGAGGGAAGCCGCTCGACAGAGCCTGCAACAGTGTGGTGAGGCTGGGGGATGGGAGATACAGGTCAAGTAGAGTTCCACAACAGTTTGGCTGATGGGAGTAGGAGTGAGTGGAGTCACGGATGGGAGGGCCGAGATGGGGCTAAGATCGCTCCTAACCCCATCCTTACCCATTACAGGGGAAGAGGGACAGTCTGCCCATCGACGGCTGGAGGAATCACTGGACGCCCTGCCCCGCATCTTTGGGCCTGGCAGCATGGCCAGCACAGCATTCTAAATTTCCTACCCACTGGCTTCCGGTGCCCCTTCCTCTCAGTTTCAGGGCTCACCAGGCACTGGCAGGGAGGGTGAGGGCTGGCTCCAGACACCTCTCCCCCACAGATTCCTATCAATGAAAATCTAATATATTCTTCTGTTGCCCTTGGGTTGGTAGAGTCAGTGCCTGAAGTCAAGTGCCTCCCAGCCTCGGCTCAGCACACTTGCCACAAATCAGTGTCCTGCCACATCCCTTGGTTTTATATTTTATTTACAGAGTTTTACAGAAAATAAAAAAGCAAAATGCCTTTCCTACATGGCCTGGCCTGGTGCATTCCTGACCCTCTGCTCCAGCACTCTCTGGCTATGGCCCTTCCTGACCCTGGTCTATCTGCATTCCAACTGTGCTTTGGCCCTAGAAATTCAGGTGGAAGAGAGCCCAGAGACTGAAACTGGGGTTGCAAAACAGCAGAGGAAGAGGGTAGTGGGTATTGTTGAGGAGGTCCAGTCTGGATGCTTGGGGGTGCCCTGGGCCTGGAAGCTATGGGTCCAGGAAGCTATGGGTCCAGGCTGGAGCTGAACTGCGGAGTTGGCCTAGAGAAAGCCCAAAGGTCCCAGTCCTGAAAGTGGCTCCCTAGCAGCTAGCATGAGGTGGCCTGCAGACAGAGGAAGCTGGCAGGATAAGGCACGGTAAGAGCGTGAGCTTTTGGCCAAAAGGGGGCAGCAGAATCCCATCAAGGAACACCAGGCTTCTGGGCCTTCTCTTGGCTTAGGCAGCTTCCTAAGGAGGTGGCTGAGCTGAACCCAAGGAGCTCCTTGGAGGCTGGGTAGTAAGAGAGAGGAGATTCTTGCAGAGGGGAAGAGCTGGGGCCTAGGAGGCAGGAAACTCGGGCAGCTGCCCTGTGATACTAAACAGCAAGTCCTTTCTCTCCCCAAGCTGCCTCTCCTCTCTGTAATAACAAATCTGACTGAACCCTGTGTGCTGCCCCCAGGCCCCCCAACAGGCAGACTGCTGCTTCGGGAGGCAGGGCTCCAGGGAAAGGACTCACATCTTCCCAGAGCTACCTGGCACGTGAGTGTGTTAACCCCAGAAGGTTAAGAATTCTATGGCGGGGGGGAGGTGGAATTTCAGAATGGTGGGCCTGTTTCAAAGAGGGCCCGAGGGAGGCCCACACCCAAGGCTGGACAAACAGGCTCTCTACCCTTCCTCTGTCCCTCCAGAGCTTTCATCATCCAGGGGCAAGGGAAACAAAGGACTTCCCTACTCCCTGAACCCACTCTGTTGCGGTGCCTGTGGTGGTAGCACAGCAGTGTGACACTGGGGAAAGTGTGTGTGCCTGCACTCAAGAGGAGCCAATGAGGTGCCAATAGTCCCCCGGGGGAGGTGGGGGAGGGGTGACCCAGATCCCCAAGGGAGCCCTGCTCCCCAGTGTTTTAGAGCTGTGTATGAGGAGGTTAGGCTGGGCCCTTAACCACCTGCTGGGGAAGCCAAGCTGAGCAGAAAAAACGGCCAACAGGAAGGAGCACAGGAAACACCTGTGTGTGGATACAGGTGGCTCATTCCAGAAGCGTCGGGGCTGGAGTGGGGGTGGTGGCAGGCAGACAGCCCTCAGCACATGACACAGCTCTATGCTCCCTCTATAACTATGAAGGGTGGCATGGAGGGATGGTGGATGTTGTGCAGCTCAGCTTTTTGGATGGTTGGCTAGGGTGGCAGGGGGTGGAGAAAGCAAACAAGTGATAGAGACCAAGCCAGCACCCAAAGTTGGCCACAGTTTGGGCCTGCCCCAAGAGCCCCTATAGGAAGAGTACAGTCCCAGAACCACCCCAAGGAGCCTATCAGGCCTGAGGCCCCACAAGAGGCCCACTAGTGGGGCAGGACTATCCACTTGGATCCAAATTGTAGCCTGTGTGGTCAGGAAAGAGGAAGTGAACATTCACTGGCCAGGTCCTGGGAAAGTGCAGACAGGGGTGACTGGGCCAGGATGAGCTCACAGCTCAATCCACAGGAGAGCACAGGGCCTGGGCAAGAAGTAGAGGATGGAAAAATATCATCCCAACCAAGGGTTAAATGAAGCAGTCACCAAAAATCTGAGCAGCCTGCTTTCCAATGCTGAGAAGGGATAGGGCCCCTAACTCTGTCCTTTACAAAGAGAGTCCCAAGGCCAGAGCCTAGTATTCAGCTCTAGCTGAGGGTGAGTGTGAGGGTCAGGATGAGCAGGAGCCAGAATTAGGGCACTGTGAGCACAGCCAGGTACAGGTGAAGGACTATCAAGACCAAAGCAAAAAGTCTCAGGCCTTTGTCCCATCAAGCCTACCTAGCTTAGAGTAGTGTGGATCAATTCCAGAACAGCCACTCGACACCTCTCCATTAACGCCCTGATGTCAGGCCAAATGGCCTCCTACACCTAGGCCCAGGCCCATATATGTGATGTAGTTGAGGACAGGGAGAGGCTCTCGTACCCTCCCCTCCCCCAACATACACACAGCCTCACAGGTGCTCCCCCACCACCTGGCACTCCCTCCACCTCCTACCTGCTGTCACACAGGTTCAGGGAGGCACTCATTCCTGCTGCCCAAAGTGATGGGGGGGAGGGGGCCTGATGACACCATCAGGATTCAAAGGCACCAGGGCAGGGAAAGCCTATGCGTAGCTGTCCTGTGGAGCCTGTGCCAGCCTCTGTGAGAGGACAGCAGAAGTGTTACATACTGAGGAGTGCCCCATCAATCAAGTCCATCAAGGCCACAGCTATGCCTTTGCCATCATAGTTGGAGCTCTCCCAGGACAAAATATAAGTGTAGGATACAAAAGAGGGACCAGACTGAGGTAGTCCAGGATAGTTTATTGTGTTGGTGGTCATCGGCGCTTCCCCTTTCTCCCCCCTTTCGTCTTCTAATCTTACCTTTTTTCCTGTCTCCCACTCTTCTTCTCCATGTATTCAAAGCTGTAGAGAACCAAAAAAAAGAAGAAAGAAAGGCATGTTTGTGAAGGCAAAGAAGCAGATGGGTTGGCACGTGGGAAGAGGACTGCTTGCTTCTTTGTCTCACCCACAAAGTGGGGGTGCCTTCTTTGTGTGTTTCTGTGCACGATGTGTGGGTACAATTTGCTGAACCCTAGGCATATGACATGCTCCTTCGCCCTCCTTTCCAGCCACCAGACAGCCCTGGAGTGTCCTATTCAGGCCATCTACCTGCCATGGCTTGGCTGTCGGACCCAGACCTTCTGTGCCTGGGTAATATTGGAAGGGTAAGCTTGGTAAGGATTCCAGGGCCTAGATGAACAGCTATGGACAAGCAGTCTATCATTTAGAAAATGAGACCGTCAATAGCCTGCAAGAGAGGAGCCTCTTTTTCAAAAGGTTACAATATGGTGGTGACCACATTTGAGTTTGAGTTTGATGTCAACGGTCAAGTCTCATTTGTCTCTAAACATACCCAGGGCATATGGACTCTCAATAAATGCTGCTTTAGAGCCACTGAATAAGTAATTGAATTGCCATGGCTAAAATCTACATCTCTAGCTATTTCCTCTGAATCTCCTTACAATCCTCTCTCACCTCCTCCTCAAACATCCTCTTACAAACATCACTCCCTAAGATTCTATTCTAGGCCCTTTCCTGTTCTCTCTTGAAACACTCCCTGAACTACCACATCTATTCCTCTGACTCCCATTTATATGCTGAGGCTGAATCCAATGATTCACATGGCTCTCTCCTCACCCCATATCCAACTGCTGGCTGGATACCTCCTTTTGAATAGCCAAGGTGTTTCAAACTCAGCATGCCCAAAATCAAACTGAGTATCTCAAAGCTTGTTTCTTCTCCGGGTCTCTTGAGGTTACCAAACTACCAGGGACCCAAGCCACACAATGACCTCAACCTTGACTCTTTCCTTTGTCCCCTCATCCCAGCCACCAGAATCCTCTCAATTAAATGCCCTAAATATTTCTAAATTCTGTCCACTCCTCTTTATCCCCGTTGGCACCACTCAGATTCAGGACATGTTGACCTCTAAGACACTGAAACTCCCTCACAGGCTTCCTGCCTCAGGTCTTACCCTTCTTCCATCCATTTTCCATGGTTCATCAGAATGATTTCTTTCTTTTTTTTAAGTTTTATTTCATTTATTTTGAGAGAGAGAGAAGTGGAAGGGCAGAGAGAGAGAGAGAGAGAGAGAGAGAGAGAAAATCCGAAGCAGACTCCACACTGTCAGTGCAGAGTCTGATGTGGGGCTCGAAACTCACAAGTTGCATGGGGCGCCTGGGTGGCGCAGTCGGTTAAGCGTCCGACTTCAGCCAGGTCACGACCTCGCGGTCCGTGAGTTCGAGCCCCGCGTTGGGCTCTGGGCTGATAGCTCAGAGCCTGGAGCCTGTTTCCAATTGTGTCTCCCTCTCTCTCTCTGCCCCTCCCCTGTTCATGCTCTGTCTCTCTCTGTCCCAAAAATAAATAAAAACGTTGAAAAAAAAAATTAAAAAAAAAAAAAAAGAAACTCACAAATTGCAAGATCATAGCCCGAGCTGAAGACAGACGCTTAACTGACTGAGCCACCCAGGCACACTTTTCAGAATGGTTTCTAAAACAAACCCACCACAGAGGCTCTCCTTTCTCCTAGGGACAAGTCCAGCCCCCTCAACCTGGGCACAAAGCCAGCTTCACTTTTGCCACCTAACTTCTTCTTCTTTTTTTTTTTTTTTAAATGTTTATTTATTTTTGAGACAGAGAGAGACAGAGCATGAAGGGGGGAGGGTCAGAGAGAGAGGGAGACAAAGAATCCGAAGCAGGCTCCAGGCTCTGAGCTGTCAGCACAGAACCCGACGTGGGGCTCAAACCCATGGACCATGAGATCATGACCTGAGCCGAAGTTGGACACTTAACTGACTGAGCCACCCAGGCGCCCCATCTGCCACCTAACTTCTTGCTCTGCACTAATGCACTTACAGAGCTTGCTTGCCCCTTGTGGTACATTCTTCTGGCCTCATCTTGCCTTGCTAATGCTTGCTCATTTGACAGGCTTCAACCTACACATCACAGATTTCTTCAGAAGTGGGTCCCTCCACTATGGTCCTGTCATAGGAACCTGCACTTACCCTGGTCCAGTAGTAATCACATCCCATTGCAATTGCTTATTTACTTTGTATCCTCATTTACTTTGTATCCTCCAGTATGTATACATGTTACCATAAGCATTTGCTGACTATTCTACTAGGTAATAGGCACCATCTAAAACATTTCAAGTATGAAAGTACCATGTTTAATGCAGAAAAAGCTTAGACACTCAAAACACTCTTCATGTGCCCTACAGAACACAGTGTTTTA